TTGCTGCTGCTGCTGCTGCTGCTGTGAAGGCGAACGGCCTGCTGCACTCTCCAGAAACTGCAGCAGCGAGAGCTCCGTCAGATGGCCTCTTATGCCGCTCAGTGCGCCGCCGCCTGCACCACAGCAGCAGCAGCAGCAACAGCAGCAGCAGCAGCAACAGCAGCAACAGCAGCGCATGAAAGCGAGCAGCAACCAGAGAAAGCAGCCGCAGCAGCAGCAGCAGCAGCAAATCAACAGCTGTGTAAGCAGCACCATCCCTATCCAGCAGCAGCCAAACCACCACCCCCACAACAACCCCCAACAGCAGCAGCAGCAGGAGCAGCAGCAGCAGGAGCAGCAGCAGCAGCAGCAGCAGCAGCAGCAGCAGACCTTCATCTCCGTAGTTTCTTGTAGTATAGTAAACAACGAGAGAGTCAGTAGGATAAGCCAGAGACAGCTGATGCAGAGCAGCAAGGGTTATGTGGGGGTCAAAGGGCAATCGATGCTCCTTTGTATACAGCCGCAGCTCACCAACCTGCTGCTGCTGCTGCTGCTGCTGCTGCTGCTGCAGCTGGCGGTTGAGACGAGCAGCAATGAAGCGACACAGCTGCAGCACCGTGCTGCTGCCGTCGTTAGAGAATTTGTTCTGCTGCAGCAGCGGCAGCTGCGGCAGCAGCGGGTCAGGTAAGAGCTCAAAGCGTAACCTTACTGCTGCTGCTGTGTCTCCATTTGCTGCTGCTGCTGCTGCTGCTGCTGCTGCACTCTGCTGCTTTCGTAGCAGCAAAGACAGCTCCCGTCGCATTCGTTTCTTCTCTAATGGAGGCAACAGAGCTTGCATACCCATGGTGAGGTACTTGCTGCTGCCTGCTGCTGCTGCTGCTGCTGCCGCTGCTGCTGCTGCTGCTGCTGCTGTTTCTGCAGCTGCAGCAGCTGTTTTCCCCTGCTGCTGCTGCTGCTGCTGCCGCGCTATTGGCTGCCCCGAAGCATCGATGAAGGGAGGCGGGGTGGGGGGTTGCAGCAGCAGCCTTGAATATGCAGGACAGCTGCTGCTGCTGCTGCTGCTGCTGCTGCTGTTGCTGTTAAAGCTGTTGCTGCTGCTGCTGCTGCTGCTGCTACTGCTGCTGCTGCTGCTGGGTATCCCCATAAGTTTTTTAATTGGCTGCTGCTGCAGCTCCTGCATTCCCCCTGTGTAGCTGCGTTTGTATGTAGGTAGTGAATCAGCTGCTGCTGATGTTTGTGCTGCAGCAGCAGCAGCAGCAGCAGCAGCAGCAGGATCAGTAGAATGGGGCGCATCTGATGGATCTGTAGTAGCAGCAGCAGCAGCAG